AAACATTTTTAAATCATAAATTTACCAGCAGAAGGTTGAACACCTGGAACTAAAGATAAAAAAAGTTTCTATAAAAATTTGCAATAGATAAGAAAGGTGTGTAAATGTTTGCAAATAATAGTTTTTAAACTTATGAGTCATAGAAGGCGTAACTAAAGTCGCAGAAGATGTAACTAAAGATTATCAAAGTTGTGATTAAAAATAAATACTGTAATTGCCAAGATATGCATAAACATATTAAAAAGTAGAAACTTGTAAACATACCACAAATAGCAGATGTAGAAGGAACTAAGGTTAAAAATGATTTAATAAAAAATTTATATTGCATTTATCAGGAATATATATACGCATATTAAGAAGTAATAACTGTTAAACTTACCATTCGTTGAACACGTAAATGTAGCTAAAATTCAAAATTTGTAATAAAAAATAAATATTGCAAATAATGACTTTGAAACTGGTAATCTTTGAAATCTATTCACAGATCAAAAAGTACTAGCTGATTCTATAATTATTAGCATATACAAACTAATACAAACTCACCTGTGATAGGCTGTGTAGATTCAACTAAAAATAAAAAAAAAATTGTACACAAAATAATTTGAAATTGTCAACAAATGTAAATGTAGTTACAAATGTAACAGTAGTCAATTTTGTGCTGCTTTAAAATGTAATATAAAACAATTAATTGTACAAGTGATAGGCTGAATAAATAACATGAACAACGTATTAATCAATGATAGCGTAAAAAATGTTCATAAGAGTAATAATTTTATTTTACTGCACTTTGAGGGATAACACAATACTTATGCATTAAATAGTGTATATAAATATAAACATAAATTAAAAAATCATTTAAAAACATTTTTAAATCATAAATTTACCAGCAGAAGGTTGAACACATGGAACTAAAAATAAAAAAAGTTTCTATAAAAATTTGCAATTGATAAGAAAGGTGTGTAAACATTTGCAAATAATAGTTTTTAAACTTACTAGTTATAGTAGGTGCTGAAGATGTAACTAAATGTTATCAAAGTTGTAATTAAAAATAATTACTGAAAAAAAACTAAAGATTATCAAAGTTGTGATTAAAAATAAATACTGTAATTGCCAAGATATGCGTAAACATTTTGAAAAGTATAAATTAGTTAACATACCTCTTATAGCAGATGTAGAAGGAACTTAGGTTAAGAATTATTTAATAAAAAATTTATACTGCAGTCATCAAAAATATATACACATATTAAAAAGTAATAATTGTTAAATTTACCATTTGTTGAAGACAAAGATGTAACTTAAATTCAAAATTTGTAATAAAAAATAAATATTGCAAATAAGGACTTTGAAATCGGTAACCTTTGAAATTTATTTACAGAATAAAAAGTACTAGCTAACTCTATAATCATTAGCATATACAAACTGATAAAATCTTACCAGTGATGGGCTGTGTAGATTCGACTAAAAATAACAAAAAATTTGTGCACAAAATAATTTGAAATTGTTAACAGTAAGTTACAAATGTTAAAAGCTGTACAAAAATTAAAAGGTTTTCTACTTAAGATGCAACAACTATACTAACAAAATGAAAATAAACAACTAAATATAACTATTAAAATATAAAGATAATATATTTATAAGCAACAAGTTAACATTAGGAATGGTTATAAACTTATGTAAACAATAAACACATAAAAAGATGATATACAATAAGTAAAAAAATTAACTCTAGTTTTTTTAAGACTTTCTATAGATAGGAAGATATTATAAATGTTTGTTAATATTTACTTATTGTATACTTTTTCTCTTTGTGAATATTAAATTTAAACTTTATGTGATTTATACTTATGAAATCTCAAAAAATCATTAAAAAGCCGGGCAGGATCTATACAAGAAATAAATATTAGACATGCTTGTATAATGATTTAAACACTAATACATAGATAAAGAAGTATGTAATCCAAATATGATAAAAGACAATAATAATGATTTCCTTTTTTTTTTCTTTTTGAAATTCTTTTGTTATATTTTAAAAACAATAAGAAGCTTTTTGTTAAGATTAACATAATGAAGTATGTAATATAATTGTTTATATGTGGTGTTTTAATAAATTGTCAACTGAATATAACAATTGACAATCAGTTTTAATAGGCTATTATAAACCACATATAAATGAGTAAATTACATACTGCATAAGTGTAAGCCTAACAAAAAAACTTTTTAGTGTTTAAAAAAATTAAAACTGTGACTATTGAATTATTCAATGAATACCAACAGTTTTAATCTTAAACATTAATCTTTTTTAATATGTTACATAAAAAACAATGAAGGTTTTACATTAATCATTATTTTTTGGAGTTATTATTATTATTATATATTTTTATTTAAACTCAATTACAGTTGAACAACTTTGCCTTTAAAGTTACGATTACTTTTACAATTTATAAAATAAATTCAGAAAAAGTTTTTTTTTTTTTTTTTTTTTTACTATTATTAAGAATAAAAAAAATTAAACTTACTTTCTGTTAGGGCATCTAACACATTTTTGCTATAGTTTGCCATATTTTTTTAAATATAATAATATATATCACAATAATTCAAAATAAGATTATTAGTTGAAGCGCCCCCTTATCCGGATTTCGGCGCCTACCGGATTTTGCTTACCAAAACAAACAACAACAGAAAAACCGAAATTAGGTACCTAAAGTCCAACACTAATTAGACTAATTGCTTATAATTATTTTTCGTTGAAATTTGGCATGTTTATAGAAAATGCATGAAGAAAACTATTTTAATAATAAAAAAAGCAGACTCTATATTTCTTCGACTACAAATCCAAGTTACAACATCAGCCAAATTTCCATGCAAAATTCTCAGCAAAATACTACATAAAAAGGTATGTAAGCGATACACAATAGTTTATAAAAATCAAGCCTAATCTTTCTTCTTTCAAAAGTCGTCAAGGTTTATATATGTTTCTAAAAAAAACCACCTCAAAAAATCGTTTGCCTAGGGCTACCTAAAAAAAGTGGTATACTTGGTATAACACTAATTAGACTAATTGCTTATAATTATTTTTTGCTGAAATTTGGTATGTGCATAGAAAATGCATGAAACAAGCTATTTTAAAAATAAAAAAAGCAGACTCAACATTTCTTTGACCACAAATTCATGGGAGAACATCAATCTAATATTCAGGAGCAAAATATTCCATAATAAAGTTTAGTAACCATACATAAAAGTATTTCAAAAATCAAGATTAACTTTTCTTCTTTCCAAAAGTATCTATGTCTATATATGTTTCTAAAAAGAAACTACTTAAAACTACGTCTGCCTCACGCTGCATAAAAAAGAGTGAAAAAAATGAGAATCAAAATTTTAGCATAAAAATCGGTTCCGTAAATCGCAATTTCCGCGTACCTATATATATATATATATATATATATATATATATATATATATATATATATATATATATATATATATATATATATATATATATATATATATATATATATATATATATATATATATATATATATATATATATATATATATATATATATATATATATATATATATATATATATATATATAATATATATATATATATATATATATATATATATATATATATATATATATATATATATATATATATATATATATATATATATATATATATATATATATATATATATATATATATATATATATATATATATATATATATATATATATGTATGTATGTATAAGTGATAATTTTTAAATAAGTTAAAAAATTTATTCTGTTAACAAACTTTATTTAGTCTGACTTATTATGTTTTATTAATTTTGATAATATTTTATAAATGTGAATCGTATTAAAACTAAGTACCATTTCTAACTAAGAAATAAATTTTTAGAAAAGTTGAGCATTTTATTAAAATCGTCAACTTAAAACAAAATAAAACATTGACAAAAATAATCTGAATAAATTGAATTTATCCTGAGATTTATGTACTTGATATACATTTTGATATAAAATCTAAAAGTTTTAAATTAGTCGCAATAAAATAGGCTGTAAATTATAACTTTATTAAAAAAATTTTTATACCATATGCATGCATTTTATAAAGTTTTCCTTGCCTTTCCATTACGGCAAATTATTTTTGTAATGGCTAGTTATTGAGACAATAATTTTTAATGTGCCACTTCCTCAACAAAGTCAAAACAACGTTTTATTAACGTTGGCAAAGTAACACTTTTTCAACGTTTTTTAATTACCACATTTTCAACCAACGTTGAAATAACGTTGAATAAGTGTTGTTTTTCAAATAGTTTAAATTCGTTGAAAAAGCAGCCAATGTCTAACGTTGATAAACAACAGACATTGATTCAACGTTGAAACACGTTGTTTTTGTGACTGTAACGCTTTTTCTACGCTGCGACTGGTTTTCAACGCTTACATGTTTGCTCGGAATACTTGTTTTCATTTTTTGATATAATTGATTCAAGTAATGATGTTCAATTTCATGTTTCACCTGAAGTTCCTGTTAAACGCAAAAATGGGTTTGCTAAGCTTGCAACATTGTGTGGTTTTAATCTATGCGAAGAAAAAACACAGTCAAACGAAATATAAAAGAGGAGTTATCTTTTTTCAGTTATACTATAAAAGCAAAAACTTGGAAATTCGATAAATTTTGGTACAAGTATGAAAACGATATTCCAATGTTAGCCTCTAAAGCAAGAGAGGTATGTACTTCACCTGCTAGTTCGGTACGGCCAGAATCCTCATTTAGTGTTGCTAACTTTATTCATCGCAAAGAAAGAAGTAACTTAAGCTCGAGAAACTTGCGGTACTCGATGCTACTTAAAGAGAAGAATTGAAATTTAACTCTAAAACTTTGTATTTAACTGAAAAAGAGAAAAAGTATTTTAACCAGTGTTTTAAAAAGTATTTTGCTTTTTTGAAACATCCTACTAAATTCGTAATATTAAACAAATTAAAATAAGCGATTGTTGTAGTTATGAAAAGTTATAAATTATTTTTAAGTTAATTTTAAAGTTACTTTTACTATTTTAACTTTAGCTTTTTAATGTTATTTACATCAGTTATTTGAATTTTTTTTTTAAAAGACTGTCTGGTTTATTGTTCTTGCTTTGGAAATGGCTCTGCATTTTGCAATTTTGTTTTAAGTTTTGCATTTTGGCTTCTTTTATTCAGCGTGGTTGTTGTTAAAAACCAATCTAACCAAAATCAAAGTTATTTCTTGAAATGACTAACTAGAATAATTGTTAGATAATACAATAATAAAGGAATAAATAATGTCTGGAATAGACTATTGTAGATAATACAATAATAAAGGAATAATTAATGTCTGGAATAGATATTAATAAATAAACAAAAAAAAAAATTTCATTTCTGTTAGAGTGGTTGTTACGACCAGGACCAGGGTGGTGAAGGGGGTATCACACCCCAAGCTGTTATATATGCATTAGCGTTAACAACAACCACACTGATTTAGAGAAGCAAAAAGCAGCAGCATAGCTACAAATATGAACGACTCTTTTATGGTAAATTTTTATCAGGGCCATTAACTTATTTCCTCCCGTCAAAAAAATTTATACTAAAACAAATAGCAGCCGTGGCGCAGTGGTAGCACACTTGCCTCAGAAACTTAAGATCCGTGGTTCAAACCCAACTCTGGGCAAGTTTTGCGACATCGGTTAGGAAGGAGGCGTGAACTTCCTATTAAATGCTCTTCCGCGGTGCTCTGTGATAAGACGGTAAGGACTTCTTGGGGCACCTAAATCAACATTAAAAAAAAAAAAAATAAACCAAAAAAAAAAAATGCCTTTTTAATGGTTTTTTGCAAAAATTATTTTTTTTAAAAAGTTAAAGATCTCAGTTATTAGAGAAAAACAAAATATTAGAGAAAAAAATAAAGGGTACAACCCGCTTTGCAGGAAACAAATTTAACATGCAATTTTATTGGGACTACCCAAATGCTGTCATGATAAAGTAAGATCAAAGTAAAGTCTAAAAGATAAAGTAAAATAATTATATAAAAAAAAGAGATTCCAAAAAGTGGAGTTCTCCAGTTGGCTCTGAAAACAATTTTAAGATTTACTTTTATTAAATTTACACATATGCTGAAAGTTTCAGAGCTCTAGCTAGTCCGGAAGGTAGTGAAAAATCAATCGCAAGATTCCGGGACAACTGATAGCCGACAAACATCTTGTAAAGTCAAAATAAAGTTTGAAAAAAAAATTTACAAGTTTATTCTAAAGCGCTATTTTAATTGAATAAGATTTTATTTGTCCTATTGTCCTTGTGCGGGTTGGACACCAACGCAACAAAAAGTAGGTTATTAGAGTGCCCACAACCTATATTAGAAGATTAAACAGCTTTTCTAACCATCTTTTTTCAAATAAAAATTTCATTATATATGATAAAACGCAATATAATTTCATTATATATGATAAAACGAAATAAAAGATTATATCTGATAAACACTCCTTTAACCATATAAACTAGCTGGGGGGACCCGTAAAATACGGGTCTTTACCGAACCGACCATTTTTATACTTATCTATAGCTATCCGGACGTAAACTAAGGGTCTTAGTAAATCTATTCCACACCGACCTTTTCTATACTTATTCCTTACCTCAATATTTTTTTAAAACCGTTTAAAAATGTACATATAAAAAACTATACTTACTTTTTGATATGACAAAAACATTTCTGTTAAAATGTTCTTTTAAAAATTTTAAACGATTTTAATATTATGCCGATTATAAAAATTTTAATAAGAAAAAACGTAAAAAAGACTACGAACTTAGAAAAATGCTAAAACATTCAACGCGTGACGCCGTTAAAGTAACGTTCATAACATGTACACATCTAATTAGATTTTATTTAAATTCAGTTGTTGCAAACTTGGTTTTGAATTTTTAATTACACTTCTTATGCGTCATAAATAATCTTAAATTCTAAATAGAAAATACGTTTATGGGCTATATGGTAGACGCGCAACACTTAGACAGATATAGTCATCTCACCCCGGGAGTTCATACTCCAGTGACATTTTTTTTTCATCCCAACTTACAACAAAAGTAATTAAAAATAAATGTTATTATTGAAACAGTTTTAAACATTTCTTCCTATTTATCTTTGAACTTAACTTTATTCACTGCAAACATACTTTTGGTGTTTGTAACGTTATTTTACGTTTAGTATTTGTAGGAATTATTTGCACGCACGTATTTTAAACAATTATTTTTACTGTTTCATCTAGAAATCTTATTTAATTTAGTTTATAATTTCTTAAATATAATATATATAATATAATTTAAAATATTTTATTAACCCTATTTAAATAAGTATCAAAACTCTTTCCTTTAATTTAAAAAGAATTTAAAATTAACGTAGGCTATAACGATATTTTACCCTTTCATCAACATTTATTTAAAAAGTAAATTTGGATGTAGAAAAACGGGTTAAAGACTTATTATTTTAAATAAGTTAGCTTTATCTATTTAATGCTTTTCGTAAAAGCGTTTCTTTAAAGACTCTTAACAAATCATTCAAGCTGTTTTTACTGCCTAAGTTATTAAACCTGTTGTGTGTGCCAAAAATCGATACTTAATGCAAATGGAAACTTCGAGTGCTAATGGTGATTTAAGCATAAATGGTTCCTATTCATATATAATAAAAGGAAATATAAAAGACAAAGCAAAAATGATTTTTATATCCATTTAAAACAATAAATCCCAAAATAAAAAAATATAGATATTTACTTAAAAACATATTTTTCTTGATATAAAATAAAAACATAACCTTTAGTACAAATTACAAAAAAAAAATTTTATTCAACAGAGCTACTTATAATACAATTTAAATTGAATCATTGTTTCATAAATATTAAGCTTTAGGTAAGCCATAATCAAGTCAGCTATAAGAAACGGAACTAAAAATGGAACAAAGTTATTTAAACGCATAATCATACACATTAATTACAAATTAACATGTCATGCAATCAATACTTTTGAAAACTCAAAAATGCGAATAAGAAACTTACTTTTTTATTTTTACATAACCCTGACAGACCAACATGAATGTGAGCTAAATCTATTTGCATAAAACATCACAACAATTAATTAAATAGCAGAACCACCTTCAAAGGACAAAAAAATTAGTTTTTTAAGGAAAATTAGAGTTATTGGGAGGGGAGGTATTAATAAATAAAAAAGCTCAACTTGAATTTCAAAATTAGTTCATAGTTTTGTTGAGGGTTATTGAGTTATTCTGAGTTTATTATACATATTTTAAACTACTAACACCACACACTTATATTCTTGGTTCTGGAAGGTGCTACATAGAATTTGATTGTGTGAAAACCAAATCCCTTTGAGATTAACATTAACTTTATCAAATGTATGACCGTGACTTTTATTTCTAGTTAATGAGCATAGTTGATAAAGGTGTCTTTATTTAAATGATTTACTTTGATAACATTTAACATTCATGGGAAAAATTAAAAAACAACACAAAAATAAATTTACAAAAATATATTACAAAAAAAAATTACCAAAAAAAATTGAAGTGGCTCAAAAGTTGTCAATTTCTTTACATTTTAAAATGTAAAAAAATATTGACAACTTTTGAGCCACGTTGTCTTCTCCTCCCAGCATCCGCTCTATTCCCCGTGTTGTATGGGGTGCCATCCCTCCATCTAAAGGAGGGATGGTCGTCCCCATACAAACACCAGCGATGGAAGGCCCTCATAGATAGAGGGCCTGGATGCTGGGAGCGATACTTTCGGAAATCTTCCCATGACTTCGAGCCTGAAAAAAAAATTATATATAAATACAACTATCTACCTAGGTAATACTTACAAAAAATCTACTGTAAAAAAACAATAAAAGCAAATAATGTAATAAATTAAGTACAAGTGAGCACAACAACTTATTTATTTTACTCACTAATACTTGACTTATTACATTAACTAATTAAACTGGAAAGCACATTTGTAGCTATATTAAAAAACAAAAGGTACAATAAAAGCAATCAATCAATGTAATAAGTCAAGTAAAGGTGAATATAACAACTTACTTGTAACAGAAGAAGCAGCAGCTAGAGATAAATAAAAGAAAGTTAAAAATGCAATAAAACCAATTAATCCATAAATTAAGTCAAGTATAAGTGAATAGAACAACTTACTTGTAACAGAAGAAGCAGCAGCTAGAGATAAATAAAAGAAAGTTAAAAATGCAATAAAACCAATTAATCCATAAATTAAGTCAAGTATAAGTGAATAGAACAACTTACTTGTAACAGAAGAAGCAGAAGCTAGAGATAAATAAAAGAAAGTTAAAAATGCAATAAAACCAATTAATCCATAAATTAAGTCAAGTATAAGTGAATATAACAACTTACTTGTAACAGAAGAAGCAGCAGCTAGAGATAAATAAAAGAAAGTTAAAAATGCAATAAAACCAATTAATCCATAAATTAAGTCAAGTATAAGTGAATAGAACAACTTACTTGTAACAGAAGAAGCAGCAGCTAGAGATAAATAAAAGAAAATTAAAAATGCAATAAAAACAATCAATCAATGTAATAAGTTAAGTCCCCGGGCCTAGCCTGATTTCTTTCATTTTGATTACAATTTATTTCAGCTCGCCGGGGCTCATCTCTTTCAATTCGACGACAATTTATCTCAGCTCGCCGGGGGTCATCTCTTTCAATTCGACGACGATTTATCTCAGCTCGCCGGGGCTCATCTCTATCAATTCGACGACGGTTTATCTCAGCTCGCCGGGGCTCATCTCTTTCAATTCGACGACGATTTATCTCAGCTTGCCTGGGCTCATCTCTTTCAATTCAACGACGATTTATCTCAGCTCGCCTGGGCTCATCTCTTTCATTTCGACGGCGGTTTATCTCAGCTCGCCTAGCCTGCCTTCTTTCATTTTGACGAAGTCTAATAATTTCATTTCTTAAATTATTTGAAATAATTAGGCATCAAAGGAGTGTGTAAAAATGATGCCTAATATAATAAAAGTTGAAGTTTCTTTTTTAAACTTATCTAAAATAAAGTGTAAGCAAATAATACAGAGCATAATACTATAATCTATTATATTCTACCATATATAGCATTGTGTTAAGATAACATAGTTTTATTAAAAACTTAAACTAAAGTTATAAATTAATATAATATTTTCAACTAAGTATTGTTTATATATTTATGGTAGTTGTTATTAATTGTTGACAAAATATTATAAGTATTTAATCAAAAAAAAAAAACAAAAAAAAAATGTAATTTAAAAAACAAATTTTTTACATATAAGAACTCATAAATAAAGCAAATTAAAAAAATTTAAGGCCTGACAACTCAGCAAGTACTGCTAGCATGGAAGGATAAAATGTAATCATCATATAATATATGTATAGACATTTTAATTCCATATATTTTATTGTGTGTGTGTGTCTATATATATATATATATATATATATATATATATATATATATATATATATATATATATATATATATATATATATATATATATATATATATATATATATATATTGATGTACATACAAAACATTAAAATAATAATATAAAGAAAACATTCTCTATACAAAAAATCCTAAAAATTTAACAAAAGTTATTAAAACTTATGCTTCAACACGCTGTATACTTACTTTTATATATATAAAAAAAATTTGAGTTAAACATATTTAATGAAGAAAATCGAAACTCTTAAAAATTTTAATGAGGAGGAGCTGTTAGTAAAGCCTGCTTTTTAACAAAATTTATTTATTGTCAAAAGCATACATTGTTAAGAACAGAGGATAACAACATTAAAACACATTTTTTCAACAATATTTTTTCACACATTTTAGAAATACACTAATTACAAACAGAATTAATTTATGTGTTTTATTATGACAATACACCACTCTGCTGGCGAGGACAATATTTTTGCTCTCAACAAAGCCAGGTCACATTATAGCAAAGTACAACACTTGGCTAGCAAGGTCAACAATCTTGCTGTAAACTAAGCCCAGTCACAACAATTTGAAACCATGCAAACAACATAATTATCACTTACAAACTATAAACATATTACATATAACACACCACAAACATTGAAACATTTCATATATTTACACACTTACAAAATATAAACCCATATAACCTTAACACATATATACACAATAAAACACATATAAATAACACACATATATAGATAAATATATAAATTAAGAAAAATATATAAATTTGAAACTTTACAAATACAACCTTATTTTTGTTTTTTAAAATACCTCGTAATAAATGTTTAACAACTTTCAAAAACAAACTATCAAACAATCTGGTTTTTTATACGGATTTTTATAACTTCTTTTAAATAAGGTATTAAACGATCTTGTTCTTTAACATGTAACATTGAGTTGACCGTGTGAGATGCAAGTGTTTTAAACACTAACTTTATCAAGAGTTTGACCTCTTGACCTTTGAAATGAGCAACGTCTTCTTGAGTCGTCTTTTAATTTAAAAATTACAGATTAATTTTATAAAGTAATAAATTTAAATACAATTGACAAAAGACTAAAATGCATGATTTAAATAAATCACCTGACTTTAAAAGTTACTTTACTAATTCAATAATAACATAATGTTCATCCTTTACTACAGAAGTTATCAAATAAAAATTGTTGATCTTATCACTAATTAAGCTGATGAAACAAAGTTTTTGATCTCATTACTGATTATGCAGATACTGACAGATTATTAAGATTTGAAAGAGCCTCATTTCGCGATTTCAGAAGTAAAGCAATTTATAATAAAACTCAAAGGCCAAGTATGGTAAAAAAGTCCGTGTAAAGGTGCACGAAAACAAAGGTGAGCAGCAGCAGCAGCGGCAGCGTTAAGTTAAGTATTAATTATAAGCGATTATAACTTATACACTCTAAAAACAGTCCGTTAAAAAAAGTAACAGATTGCGCTTTTTTGTCAAATTAACGGATTAATTCTCGTTACCAAAAACCAGAAAATTAACGGAGTAAAATTAATTATTTTACGGATTCTTTGAAATTTCGTTAATTCAACGGATTAATTATTCTAATCTGTCAAAAAAAAATTTTCAGTATATTAAATCTTTTTATTTTAAAAATGATAATGTTTTGAATGCGTTTTTCTCACATTTACATTTACATCGTAGATTAAAGTTGGTTGCAGTAAGTGTAATATGCCATTTTTTAAAAAGCTTTACATTTACTAAATGTAAAGCTTTTTAAAAAATGCTTTTTAAATTTTCTGTATAAAGCTTTATATAGAAAATTTAAAATAAGTTAAATAATCTTCGAAATAACATAGCGTAATTTAAACTATATTTATCCATTTGCTTTGTCTACTAAATGATTTAGTAGACAAAGCAAATAGATAAATATAGTTTAAATTAAGCTATGTTATTTCGAAGATTATTTAACTTATTTTAAATTTTCTATATAAAGCTTTATACAGAAAATTTAACAATAAGGTTTATTTTATTTTAAATTAAAAGCCATTAGTATTACTAAATAATATATAATAACATATATGGTAAGTTAATACATATAATATATGGTAAGTTACTACATGGCTAAATCTAGAAAATTATGCAAGAATATATGCAATCCATATAGTCTATATTATAGAAATAAAAGTTCAACTAATCCTTTACTAGTAGTAAAGGGTTAGTTGAACAATTATTTCTATAATATAGACTAAATGGATTACTTATAGTCTTGTTTAACTTTATATTTTAGACATATGATATGTAGTAACATACCATATTTGTTTAAATCAGTTGTAAAATTAAAAATGTTAACATCTTTGATAGGTATATTTATTTAGGTTAGTTACAGCTAAGTTTACATGGCTAGTTAATATGCTTTTATAAATTGCAATTTTTATTAATTTCCAAATTAAACATGTGGCATCCAATATCATAAACTATGATTATACTGGTGTGTTTATATTATTTTAGAATTTTTTGTTTTAGACACATGGCATTTGTTATCCCACTGTAAGTTAAAACTAGTTGTGAAATTAAAAAATTTATTTTGGAACTTCTTTTTCTTTTAACATTCATGTTTATTTATTTATACTTAGAATTATAGTTATCTTAGAATTTGCTGCTTTAGAGGCATGGCATTTAGTGTCACATTGTAGGTTTAAATTGGTTGTAGAATTTATATTGTAACTTGCATATTTATTTAGTTGAGTTTAATCTAAGTTTATATCTGATGTGTTTGTATTATTTTAGAATTTACTGTTTTAGACACGTGGCATGTGGTATCCCACTGTAAGTTTGAATTAGTATATTTAAAAAAAAATTATACTTTAACTTGCATTTCTTTTGACGTTCATGTTTATATAATTAGATTACAACTTAAGTTTGTGTATGGCTTGTTTATATTATTTCAGAATTTGCTATTTTAGACACTTGGTATAAGCTGTCATACTGTAAGTTTAAATTGGTTGTAAAATTTATATTGTAACTTGCATTTCTATTGGCGTGCATATTTATTTAGTTGAGTTTCAACTATTAATAATAATAATAATAATAAGTTTATATCTGGCGTATTTATATTATTTTAAAATTTACTGTTTTAGACACGTGGCATGTGGTATCCCACTGTAAGTTTGAATTAGTAAATTTAAAAAAATTGTATTTTAACTTTTCTTTTGGCATGCATATTTATTTAGTATAGTTAAGACTAAGTTTATATCACACTTTTTTAACTATTATTCTACTATATTCTATATTCTCTATTATTTTAGAATTAGCTATTTTAAACATGTGACAAGTGTTATGACACTGTAAGTTTAAATAAGTGGTAAAATTAGTTTTTTTATATAGTTACTTGCGTTTTTTTTGGTCTGCATATTTAATCTTGTTTTGATTTATCATAGTTTTTAAAAGGTTAGAGACTTTATATTTTGCTCCTAATAGGTATTGATGTATGTGAAATGCATAGAGTCTTTCAGTTATCAGATAATGTCAAGGTAATCTTATACTTTTTTTTTAGTTTACATTTTAATAAAGATATAATTTACTTGTTCCATTTAACTTTATCTTTAAAAAAATCATATCAGAGATAATTAAAATAACAAAATTTAGAATAGAAATTTATATATAATGAATTACCAAAAACATTTTCTATAGTGCTATCAGTAACATTTTCTATATTAGGTATGTTATTAAGTTTCCATATTTTCCTTATTTTATTTTATATTAATCTTTAAGGAGTTGACAGCATGGTGTTCGATTCAAAGTGCGAACCTGTGTACGAGTAACAACAGTATTCAAAACCAAAACCTATTTAAACCAACCAAACCAAAACTAACGACCAAAAACTTCTTGGCATTGGTTTATTTTAAACATCTATTATATATATGTGTGTTTTTTATATAAATGTACTAGCTTGAGTATAGTGTATTAAAAATTTTTTTCATGTATTTTTATTGTAGTTTAAAGTATATTGGATTAAATATTATAAATAATTGATTAGTTTTCAATTTTTGGTTAAAACGTTTTAATGTAGAATATCGAAATAAAATAATGCAATTAAATAAAAATGCAAACATTAACAAATATAAGGATTATTTTGTTATGAAGTCACAATTCTGGCCTCTCTAATTTTAGATTTAGTGATTTTAACGAAATAATCACTAAAATAACTTATTAACACATTTATTTTATAGGAATAACAACCGCGGAAAATTTGCTGCCTAGTGTAATAACTCCTTAATTTTAACGGATTATTCGTTGCACTAACGAAATAAATCCGTAAATTCAACGGACTATTCCTAACGGACTTCAATTCGTTAAAATTTTAATTCGTTAACTTAACTGATTCCCATTAGTGCAATAGCGACAGATACAATTCGTTGTATATAACGGTTTTTTTTCTTAGAGTGTAGTTTAAATGACTTATAATTTTTTGAAAACTGTTGTAGCAGTCAATGTCCTTGCGGGTACCAAAAATATTATATTGCGTCATATTACCATAACAAAATACTTGATTAAAAAGGCAAATACAAAGAAAAAAACTGGAGAAAAAACGCGCTCTAACGAACAGTGACTTAGTCAGGGTTTACACATGCATGAATTACCCATAGCTAAGAAATTATGCTCCCTTCCTCCCCCGACAAAGTTTCATTATGGCCACTAACCTATTTCTACTTAACAAAAAAAAAAGTAATAAAAAATCAATGATTATTTACCAGCTTCTATTAGCACTCATGCGGCAGGGTTCCCGTCTCTACACTACTGTTATTCCCGCATGACTATATTTGCCCCTAATTTTAATAGAACTACCCTTTCTGATATACGTGAAAAAAAAGTTTTTCCTGATGCCCTACCACATACTTGCCCACATACCTGAAGTAGTATTCAGAAGTGCCCTAAAACAGAAAATGGATTTGAATACGCTACCTATCTCAAAATTTACGTTAAATCAACATTAAACGACTGTTCTTCAAGAAAGTAAATAATGTAACTTACATTTTACTTACTTACAAAGTAAAGTATAAAATTTCAAAGAAAAAATTACTTTTATTTGTAAAAGTAAATAACAATTTTTTTCAAATTACTTTTATGTAAGCTAATTAATGCTAATTAGTTACTTTTACACGTAAAAGTAATTTGTTGTTATGATGTATTTTTATTTTACTCGGTAAAGTAAGTGTTATGTTTTTTAAATATTATATTTACGTAAGTTTACTTCATAAATAACTTTTTTTACATTTAAAAAGTAAATTACATTTCGATGTAAATTTTTTACATAATTATAACCAAAATTACTTTTGAAAGTAATTTACTTTACACGACATATTATTAAAAGTAAGTTACTTTTACAAGTAAAAGTAAAAATGCAAATAACTTTTACTTGTAAAAGTAAATTACTTTTTCAAGTAACAGTTACTCATTTAAAAAACTTAACTTAAGTAATTAAGTTTTACACGTTATATAATTTACGTAAAAAAAAAACGAATTACTTTTAAACGTAAGTAAGTTATACATTTTTATATAAGTTATGTAAATAATTTGCGCTTAAAAGTAATTTGCGTTTTTACATCAAAATAAGAAAAAGTGCCATCCCTAGGATCAACCTTGATTTATATACATTAAACCAACGTCGAAATATATACATTGGATCAACGTTGGGTTCAGATCGTTAAAACAATCAAATTTTTTCAATGTTTTTACATACATTCGAAAAACGTTGATTTATATACATTGAATCAACGACAAAATATATACATTTGATCAACATTGGGTTTAGATCGTGAAAACAATCAACTTTTTGCAATGTTTTTACAAACATTGGACCAATCTAAATTTGCCAGATGTATTTAGTTCCGTTGGTGATAATTTTATTATTAACCAAATGAGATTGGATCAACGTTGGTTTTGCATAGGAAAAAAGAGCCGACGTTCGTGATGGTTTTACATACGTTGGGCCAATGTAAGTGTGCTAGCTGGGATATTGACTAATAAAACAAAAAAATCACCACAAAAATATCATATATGCTATTATTCTGGTGATTTCTTTATCTTATTAGCAAATATTTGATGCAATATTTTTTAATCATATATACCATTACCTTGTGAAATTTCTTGCTTTGCGTAGCTTAACGTACCTATGAAAAGTAATGCCATCAGCACAATCTTTTGCACCCATAGGCAAAACGAGTCATGCCAAATTATCAAATTATATCTTTTTATTAACATTATAGCTTCACATGATTTATATTGAGTGTAAACTCAGTATAAATTATGTGAAGTTTAATAAATATGTTTTTAATTTTCTAATATGTATTAAATATGTAAAAATATGTATTTTAGTTTCTCTTTTTTTTAAAAAACATTCTATTTTGTAGAATACATTTAAACTTACTCAAATATATATATATATATATATATATATATATATATATATATATATATATATATATATATATATACAGTATTGGACAAAACCTTTGCAACCAACATCGAACAATATTAAAAAGTATTCCTAATTTTACATGTTTTAACAACGAAACGAACTAGACTACCGCAGCAAACAGATCAGGAGTCTGGAGTCATAGCATACCATGACATGAGCAATCAGCTGATAGGTGACAGCACACAGGCAGAATTTCGTTGACAAGTGCCATTTTGCAGCGGACAAAACAAGTGCAACTTTTTTGGCTTGTTTCATTATTTTAAGTCTGGTCCGTGTCAACGTCACGAAAGTTTTTTAATAATTAAAGGAAGTATCCAGAAGTTTCCAGAAGCATGCAGAAGCTTCCAGAAGTTTTCAGAAAAAACATCTGGAAGCATCCAGAAGCATCCAGAAGTACCCAGAAACATTCAAAAGCATCCAGACGCATCCAGAAGCTTCCAGAAGCATCGAAAAGAAGCATCTAGAATCTTCCAGAACAAATTAACACAGGTTCATTTTACTATATAAGAGACATGTAAACCGACATGTAATTCAGCCAGTATATGGAAGTCAATCAGTCAGTATTATCAAGACAGTTTATCGAAGTGAGTTTTATTAAAGTGTTTTATCGAAGAACATCAATTCAAGAAGTGAAATACAACAAGTGTTTCATTACATCAATACAGTCCACATCTAACCAAGACGTTGTGTTCCGCACAACATTATTGTATCATCACTAGGTAAATGTAACACGGTAAGCCTTGAGAAGCGTAATTATTTATTTTTATAAATTTTATGACTTCAAATGCAAAAATGGCTCCTGACAGTCTTGAGAAAGAAAATTATTGGCGATTACGTAAGTGGAATGTCACAAAAAAGTATTTGTGATAAATATCGCGTAAAAAAATGTACCGTATCAAGACTATGCTCCAAATATCGTTCTACGGGGAAGTTAGCAGCAGATAACAAAGGTGGAAGACCGCGTTCCACCACTTCTAGAGAGAATTCTATTATCGTCAGATCCGTCAAAAAGGATTCCTGGATATCATCAGTTGAGATACAAAAGCAATTAGAGCTGCCTGTATCGGACCGAACAATCAGACGACGTGCTGTTAAAGCTGGATCGCTTTCTCGACGCCCTGCAAAGAAACCACTGATTTCACTAAAGAACTAGAAGAAAAGACTCCTGTTTGGTACATCTCATATTGACTAGAATGTGCAGAAATGGCAAACTATCCTGTTCAGTGATGAATCGAAGTTCAATATCATTGGGCAGCGATTCCACAAAGTTTCATTAATCACCTAATCGAATTTATGCCTCGAAGATGCAAGCCTGTAATCAACAACTAAGGATTCGCTACGAAATATTAATAGCGAAATACAGCTTGGTCAACATTTTGTGGAGTTGCACTTGTTTTGTCCAAAAGGAAATCAACTTTTTTTAATACTTTTGATTAATTTATTAATTTTCGCGTAGAAATAATGAACTTTGTGATGAATAAAACTTGAAGAACGTTGCCTCTAAACAGTTACATAGTTAGTTCTCTAAATTGAAAAAATGCAGCACTTTTATATAAAGAAACTAAATTAGCATTATTTGGTTGCACACTTGTTTTGTCCAATACTGTGTGTATATATATATATATATATATATATATATATATATATATATATATATATATATATATATATATATATATATATATATATATTCACGCCTGTAAATATATATTTATTTTTAATCGTTTAAATATAGATAAAAACTCACAAACATTTGGTTTTATTTTCTCAAGAATCTTTTATACTATTTGAAATACAATATCTTCAAGTATCGTGTTGAAATATAGCTATCTGAATGTCTATTTCATTATTCCGAATGTTATTAGAATAATCTAAAAAAGGCAATCAGTTAGCAAATAACTCATTATAAGATTGTATAAGCTGCCAAACATAAATTGATGAATAATTCAATCATTTGGTGCAATCTTTTGACAAGAATCTAATAAATTTTTTTGTAAATCCTTAAGTTTTGTGAAGTGTTTTGGGTTAACCAAAATGGCGGCCATTTTAAAAACTAGCTTCAAAAAAGTTGCGCGACACCGTCTCCTGTTTATTTAACCTCCGTGGTCGGAATAATAAAATTATTAACGGTAACCGAAAACAACAACCTATCCTAGAGGGATGTCGATTTTTTCGTTAAAATAAGCTTTTATTAATCGTGTCAAAAGAAAATTTTTTATGGAAAATCCTTTTTTTGTATATGTAGGTATTTTTATTCAAAGGAATTTTTTATTCAAAGGAATTTTACTCAAGGGAATTTCCCACTAATCTGAACAGATTAACCTTTGCTCTTGCTATTGTCATTTTTCTATTGTCAAGAGCAAAGATTAACCTAAACAGATTAACCTTTGCTCTTGCTATTGTTATTTTTTCACATAAATACTGCTTGTTTTTTAGAAATAACTCAATTCGCCACAAACAACAGTACGCGAAACATCGAATAAAAAAAGAAGGATAGGAGCGATAACAATTGTCGATGATGATGATTTGGAGTTTTCTCCATCCGTTATATGGTCAGAGGAAATTAGCAAAAAATTGAATTCGCAGCATTCTGACAAAGATAGCGATATAGGTTTCATAGTTATTAAAGAATTTTGTTATGAGACTCAGCTTTGCGAAATAAAAACAAAAACTGTAAGTTTTTCTTTTTTTTTTTATAATATTAATATATTATTACATACTTTGTGAATATATTTATATAATTAAACTCTTATTGTAGGTTAAAAACTGAAAAACAATATAAAAAAAAAAAGAAAAGAAAAGATTCTAAATTTTATAAGAACAAAAACTCATAAGATTATTTTTTAAATATTTTTTGACCAAAATCTCCAACGCAGATTGTCGCGTGACTATATATTTTTGACCAAAATCTCCAACGCAGATTGATCGCGTGACTATATTTTTTGACCAAAATCTTTAACGCAGATGGATCGCGTGATATTTTTACTCTGTATTTTTTAAATCATGGTAGTAAGTCTACATGATGCTCTGTTGCTTTTTATATACACATTTTGACATTTAAAATTAATACTTGCATTTATATCTTTCTTTTTAGCTAAAGAGTTTATATTTATATATATCTATAGATTTTCTTTTTGACTGATTTTTAAAACGTCTTTAAGCCTAAAATAGTAAACTGTTTTTAAAATCTTTAACTAAATATTGACCTAATAGACTAAGGACCATTTGTGGAGTTTTTATAAATGAAGTAAAAGATAAATATGAGTTCATCTCAGCCATTTAAAAACAAAAATTAATATTTTATTAATACTTGAAAAAAAATATAAACAATATTTACTGGTAGGTATAAATACTATTTATAACTATACTTCATATCTACTAAAGAAACGTTAAACATAAGGACTAATAATTATTAGTCGAACGTTGATGTTGTTGAGCATTGAGATTGAATCTAGGCATTTTAAATTTGAAGAGCGCGTTTCGTAACGCAGTCAATAGAAAAGGTCTTCTAAGCATGAGCTGAGAAAATTTCTCAGCTTTCTAGGAGAATCTTTGTTTAATATTATATTTTCGTATTAGTTTCATTTTACGTGTTTTTCTTAAGTTGAATTTTAGACTTTTTCTAATGAACAAATAAAAGCGTGTTTATTGTTATTTGTTTTCTAATTTAGATTCTTAGATAAGTAAAAAGAAGAGAAAAAATTAAAAAAGTAAAAAGAAAAAATATGAACGGTAAAATTTTGATTTTAATCTTTTTCAAAACGATTTTTATTTTGTTTAACAGCATAGCAATTTTTATTGTAAAAGGATTTAAACGATTTAGAAGATAAATAAGACAACTTAATTACTTATGTAGAAAGTAAATTTAATTACATTTAAGTTGAATTTTTAAGTATGTACATTTAGACATGAGCAAAGGTTTATTAATAACTTTGTTTTTTTCTGTGTATTTGATGTGCAAGTAACTTTTTTTTCAAATTTGCTATAATTTAATTTATATTTTAATTTAGTTTTTAATTAAATTTAAGTGGTAGATTTAAAATGCGGTTTTGACGCCATCTCCTTGGCCCTCGGGAACACCCTTCTTGATGTTTACCCTTTATTTCTTTAGATGTAAACCTTTCTCTCGATAGGTTTACATCTAAAGAAATCTTTTGACGCCCGTAATTAAATCAGGTACGGAATATTTTTTGATACCCTCCATCAAAAGTCTTTTTGATACCCGCCGGACAACTTTTCCCTCCAAGGTCAAGTACTATCAAGCGGCCATTCCATAGGGGGAAGGAAATTAATTAATATGTAAGCAAAAAAAAAAAAAAATTTAATTTCAATTATTTTGTTACATTGTAATATTACTTATGATTAGTTGTGTAGTTTTATAATTATACCATACTAATAATGCAACATTACACTGTAAAGAATGTCACGCCAAATTGTCTAATAAAATTGCCATGTCACGAAGCTCGACTTAACACACGACATTAAAAGTTAAAATTGTCACGCGACTTTTAGCAATTATATATGGCATGACATTTAAATTAAATTTTTTTTCCATTCATTGCTTCGAATAAAAACATTAAAACAATTGAAAACTAAATATTTATATTTGATGATGGTTTCTTTTTAAAAAAATAAAATTTAATTTTTATTATTTCTTTGGTCTTTATTTATTTTATTTTGTAAAGTGTGCCTTTTAATCACTTGATTGACATTTATAATTAAATTTGTCGCACGACTTTTTAGAAATAAGTATGGCGTGACATTTTAATTTTTTATGTCGCGGCACATCTAAAGCACTGTTGTTTCGCGTGTCATCAAGCACGCTACATTTAGAAAAATAAAATGTGGCGCGTTAAATCAAGCTAGGTGAAATGCAACGCGATAGTGTTTTAGAAGTGCAGTGAAAATAAAAAATTAAAATGTCACCCTATACTTGTTTTTAAAAAGTTGCGTGACAAATTTAATTATAAATGTCAATCAAGTGATTAAATGGAAAATAAAAGAAAATAAAAAGACCAAAGAAATAATAAAAATTATATTTTATTTTTTTAAAAAGAAACCATCATCAAATATAAATATTTAGTTTTGAATTGTCTTAATGTTTTTATTTTAGGCAAAGAGCTGAACAGTTCCAAAATACAAAATACCATAAAACCTTTAACAAAAATTTTCTTTTTTTAGCCAAAGCTTATTAGTACAAGCAAATGGTATTTGCACGACATTAAGGCGAGTTTCCACTCATCCGTTTTTTAACGGGAACGCGAAAGGGACGGGAAAAAAAATCACGTGGGCATGCGTAGTATAAGTTTTAATATGTCCGAAGGAAAACTACTCATGCTCACGTGATTATTTTTCCCTTTTCTATCCCGTTCCCGTGAAAAACGGATGAGTGGAAACTCACCTTAATGCTGCAACAGCCCTAAAACTCAAATGATCTTGGATACGACAGGTCCATAATATAATAATAAACGATAAGTTGAAGCACATGTAGGGAATCATTATGCCTATGACCCATCGCAATTACTTTCACTTTGTCAACAAATGTTATGTTCTCCTAAAATAAGTTGGCCCAGAAGAAGAGATATTATCTTCAGATTAAAAATTTGTTAAAAAAGTGAAATTAAGTTTATCTTAATAACATAACTATAATCGTTGATTCTTTCTCATGACATAGCTTTTCTATGTGAAAACTGGTTATCAAATTTAGAACATTTCATAATAAAAAATATCTACAAAAATACCCACTCTTCGTTCTTCCACCAGGCTGACAAACACGAGCAGGGTCGACCGTTTGGTGGAAACGCTTTTTTTACTCGGAAACATTTGTTTCAAAACATTATTATTCTTTATGAAGATGATCATATCTTTGCAATAAATCTTTAAAAAATCAGACTAATATTATTATTATTATTATTATTATTATTATTATTATTATTATTATTATTATTATTATTGGCATTTCATCGTCGCGCAATAATCAAACATCATTGGAGGATTACAAGAGTCAGTTGGATATAATTTCAGGTGTTATTAATAACTACGAGGGCGTTGCTGAATTTATTGTCATTAGCGACTTTCAATCTTCATCACGGAATATATGATTCATTAAAGAGAGCTAGCTCTACGAAAAATAACTACTCCGTAGTTTTATAAAATTTTATTAAGTCGAATGAACTTGAATTAGTAGACGTAACAAAAGACTCTGGACCTATGATAACGTATCACCATAATACATTACCAAACGCATCTTACATAAATCACATAGCTTTCTCAAAGTATACGTCTTGAGTGATCATTTACCAGTATCGATTGAAGTTGGAATTATTGGACAATCTCAAGAAAACAATCATAAAAACTCAGACAAGTACAGCATTCCAAACTATGCCTGGAATAACAAGGATTTTTTACAATTATATAACAATCGTTTAAATACTAATTTTAATTTTCACAATTTTACGAATGACAATTACGATGAGAACTTATCAAATTATATACTGTTTATTACAAAATCGGCATCTAAGGCACTCAGTCAATATTCATCCATGAAAAAACCGTCATTGCATTCAAAATCCTGGTGGACACCCAAGTTAAGCCGTAGTAAAAATGTTCTTTCATTTTATTTAAAAAAATGGCGGAAAACTGGGTTCGTTAAAAACTTAAACTCGCAAATTTTTAATCGATACCGGATGGCACGAAAAAATTTCCGCAATGCTGTAAAAAATGCTCAAAATAAAAACCTGTACAAAGAATACATAAAAATCTATACGTTAAAAAATACAAATCCAAAATATTTTTGGAAAACTTTCAGAAATATAAAAAAAGATGCAAGTTCGAAATTGTATATCATAAATAACAAAAAAGATAAAGACTCGATCACAAACGAATTTGCCTACATTGATTACACAATAAAGCAATCACATATACCTCTACAAATTTAAACGTTCCACCTTGCACCAAATTCGACGAGGTAATAATATCGGATGAAAATATAAAAACGGTTATTTCTCGCCTTAAATTAAACAAATCCGAGGACGTCTTCGGAATATCAGCTGAACATTTAAAGAATGCGAGCTGTGAAGCAGTAACAGAATGGCTCAGAAAATTTTTTAACTTTTTTATTAATCATGGACAGACCCCAAAATCGATGTCTACATCACTTATAATACCACTTGCTAAACCGTATAAAAAATCCTTAACTGATCCAAATAACTACCGCAGCATTAGCATCATTCCAATCTTTACGAAACTAATAGAATATCTTATCCTTCTAATCTGTCCAGAAATAAAAGAGACTCATCCTCTTCAATTTGGTTTCAATAAAAATAGCTCAACCCTACACGCTGAATTTGTTATTAGTGAAACAATTAAACACTACAACAACAACAACTTACCTGTCTATCTCTGTTTCCTAGATGCTGAAAAAGCGTTTGACAGCTACAACTGGGACATTTTGTTTGAGAGACTGTACAATTATAAAAAAACTCCCTCTCTTTATCGTTAATACCATATCGTCATTATACTATGCGCAGTGCTTAAAAATATAAAGCAGTGCTTCTGTTTCTTATCTAGATTACAAATCATATCCTTTCTATCTAACGCAAGAAGTGAGACAGGGATCTATTCTCTCGCCTCATTTGTATAACATTTATACTCAAAACCTATTAGAAACCTTACAAAACGAAAGCGTTGTAGGTACATCAATCAATGAAAACTATACGGGTGCTGTAGCATATGCTGATGACATTATATTTCTAAGCTCCACCCTCTCTGGCCTACAAAAGCTTATTAATATATGTAATATGTACACACACACACAAAAACTGCATAAAATTGAATGCTGACAAAACCGAGTTCCTGCTCACCGGAAAAAAGCAAATTAAAAACTGCACAATAACTCTCAACCACCAAGAAATAAAACTTCATGATTAACTTAGTCATCTATGCTTTACATGGGATACAAAAAGTTCATCTTTTGCCTCAGTTAATAAATCAAACATTGATCACCGAATATCTAATTTCCGGACGGTAATCCAAACCTTAATTCAATCAGGAATCCGTTTTGCTCACCCAAACTCCATTGTTCAGTTATATACAACTTTAGCTGTTCCAACACTAACGTATGGTCTTGAGCTGTGTGAACATAAAAAAATATTAATGCAAAAGCTTGATATTGTTGGAAGAAATGCACTTAAGACACTCCTCGATGTTTCAAAACATAGCAAAAATTATATTGGCCTGATGAACAATAAAATGACAAATGATATTATTAAGTCGCAGCTGAAAAACGAAACAGCCCTAAAACATTTTTTAGATAGTATCAAAGACTTGTGCAATAATCATAAAATAAATCTGGAGACAATAATGAAAAGATAAAAAAAAATTAAACCATTGGCCTCAAAAATTTAATTCCTGAGACGGATCATCAAACTCTAAAATGTGCATTTGAGTGTTAGAACTTAAAAAAGCAGAGAACTATCTTCAAGGACATTCTTGAAAAAGATATTCCAAGATGATCACATTAAAAAAAAAAAAAAAATTCCAAGATTTTTGGTATTTATCTTGTATGAAACTCTTAATTTACCTTACTTGTATAGTAACTTACACAAACAAAAACAATTGGACATAAAACTCCTCTTCTGGTCTATATCTATTTAATGTAATGTAACTAAATTAGTATTTAACATGAAAAGCCAGTTTATGAGGTATGTAGCGGTCAATTGTCATGATACAAACTTTTACGCAGTAAGGTTGAAGGTCAGTGATCTTATAAAGTTGATTAGAATCATTAACTGTTGAAATAATATCACCAAATTTGTATACAATTCAACCAATTACAATTCTTTTTTTTAAAATGTTGAGTTTTTGCCGTAAAAGATAAGGTATCAGTTGACATTTATTATCAAGGAAGTTTGAAATTGTATTCCATCGAAGATATTGACAAATTGATTTTTAATGTTATGCTTGCCGTAAAAGGATGAGATATCAGTTGACCATTATCATCAAGGAAGTTTGAAATTGTATTCCATCGAAGATATTGACAAATTGATTTTTAATGCAATGTTTTTAAAGTTATGTCAACGTACACTTTTTATTTTATTGTGCTAAATATATAAAAATTGTCTTTCTCTATAGAGAAAGACAATCTTTATATATATATATATATATAGCTGAGAAATCACTCTCAGATGTTTAAAGATCTACTACGTTATTTCAACGCAAGATTTCCATTCAGCTATTAAACAGCTGAGAGAGAGCAACCAGTTGAACAAAAATAGCCATCAACTTTACAAACCGTAAAGAAGAAATCAAGAAAAGTTTTTACTAATATAAAAGATTTCTTTAAACATACATCAAAATTAGAGAAGTCAATACCTTCTTCTAGACCTATTCCCCCATCTATACCTTCTCTCAGACCACAAAAATCAATACCTCCTGCCAGACCTACTCTTCCTCCTTGACATTCTTCAAAAATTAAAGAACCACCTAAAATAAAACGCTAATTTCTTGATAAAATAATTAGGGATTATTTGAGAAAAGTTGGTAGAGATTTGGAAGAAAAAGATGATTTACCAGACTTAAATATTTATAAAGAAACTAGCTGACACATATTGTGTGGCTGAATTACCGCAAGACCACAGACTTGAATCAGACTCTCTCATTTATAAATGAGATGTAACTAAAATTAGGGAGCCAATAGAAAGTAAAATAAAAGAAGACGGACAAATGGTTACACTGATTTTAGTAGCTGAAATTGAAAAACTGCGTTTCGTGTTGAAAACGCTTATGATGAAGGTGAATCCTCTAAAACTATGAAACAAAGTATTACCTTCGCTCAGATGCTGCTGCTATCCTTAATAAAAGTAACATTAAAGGTTTGATTGAAATTACTCCAGCGAAAATTAACGAACTACTTAAAAAAATTTAATAACGAAGGTTCTAGTTAGTGGCTTAGTCGCTGTGAACCATTACACATTAGGTTTGCAAACTATAATCCATTCCGAGGCAATAGTTATATTCAAACATCTGGATACATTTCTAGGCGTTGTGTTATAAATGTGAAAAATATGAATACCCGATACTTTGAGTTGACTATCCTTAGCAAACTACACCGTGTAGATCCTCTAAAATTAGACCGCGAACATGGTAAAAAGTATCGAAATAAACATGTGGATATCAAAGTATAGCCAAAATCTTGGAGGGCTAAACTTTAAAGATTTTGAATTTTCAGATAAAATTACCGATATTGAAAAGTTCGAGCAACAAAATCCAACGCTCTCAGTTCTTTGAATGGGGAAAAGGTTTATATTCACTATACATTAGCAATGAAAAGGATAAGATTGAAATAGACATTTTACTTATTTAAGATAATAAGTTTCATTATGTCTGGATTATTAATTTGGTTGCGGTGCTTTACTATAAAAGTAAAAATAGAAAATTAAAGCACCCATGTTGTTGATGCCTTCATTTATTCAGTGCCATTAACTTGTTAAAACATCATAGTGGAATCGTACTGTAATGCCGGAAAAAGGTAAAGATAAAAATTAAAATTTACAAGTTCTTAAAAACAAAGTGTGTATCTTAAGTTATCTATGCAGGTTTTGAATGTCATAATGTCCGTTGCCACAGACTGAACAAGCTGATTTAACAAAAATCTCGGTGACGATAAAGTAAGAAATCATTGTCACATAACGGGAAATATCGAGTCGCGTACCGCTCACAAAGAGTGCAAAAAAAGGTAATCCTATAAGCAGCACACTTAATAACAACATTAAATCCTTTATCAGCCATAATTGGTTAATAAGGAGGGAGTCAGTTATTGCCATATCTGACATTTTTCTAGTATATGCCTTTAAAACAGAATTTATAAAAGTACTAGAGGTAACTAATACAAGAAACTTCATTTTATTGTGCTACTTGTATTCAGACCAAGTTGTAATTTGCAATTCTAAATCTTTTGGTGTTTCTATAAAAATTTCAGTGCGGTCAAATATTCCTAACAGACTTGGATTATCTTTAAAACAATCAGGGCGGTTCAAACAAACTTTTTCTTCGTCTGGAAAGTAAACAAATGATTTAAAATATTGTAACAGGTCTCTTATCCAAGATTTAAATATTTTTGAAACAGCGCCAAGAGAAACATTAAATCTACCAACAATGTCGTTGCTTTGCGATCCAAGGCGTAATTTCAACAGAACAACTAAAAATTCATCTTGTGAACATATTTTTATGTATCTACAACGTTTTTTTGGTGGCTTATTATTTGAAATTTTTTAGGAAACCATCTTCAGTTTTAAAACTAAATCAATTATGTACAATTGGTTCTATAAGATCATGGAGACTGTTAAAAACTTTCATAGAAGGAATGTTTGTGTTACACTTTTTCTCAATTGTTAATAACTGATGCGCTTGAGAGAGCTCATTAAGATTAGAAAGTGGATTAATATAAATTTCATTTTCATCTACAACTTCTACTACTACTGGTTCTGGTTCAATCATAAAGTCAATTTTTTTTGGCTGAAGTTGACACTAAGTAATGAGGAGTTGGAACGTAATTGTCTAACAAAAAAAAGTTGCGATTGCGATTAACAAAATAAAGTACTACATTGTGTAGTGGAGTTTACGTTTGGTTTATATTTTTTAAGTAAAGGCTGTGTGTAGTCAGTATTTATTGTACTAATTACAGGCACAAAAGAGTAACTTTATTTCTAGAATCGTATTCAAGTTTCTTAGTTAGAAAAGGATTTTTTAATGTAGGCTCTTTATCTACAAAATGATTGAAGCAAACTTGTGCATTTTGGACAGAAAAAAATCAGTTGTTCCAGGAGTGCTTTTTAGGCTGTTGTTAAGTCGATCCAAATTTCACGTTGAGAAGGAGATTTTTTTATAGTTAGAAAAAGAAATAACTGAAAAGGTGATGTACAATTAAATCCAATTTTTTCTTTTTTACATTTATGTTTTTTGCATATTTCATAATTACATTTCATAAGTCTATAACTTCCATTTGAGCAACATTTTACGACACAATGATTAAAATTTAAACAAGAATGATAAAAGTTAAATTTCAAAGAGTTCTAATTTCAAAATAGTTAATTCAGTTTAAAAAAATAACTCTTCCATTTTTAATGTTTGATTATTCGAAATTTTTTTGTGCTATAACTTTCAGGAATATTGAAAGCAGTGTACTGATTTAACTACAGCAGGTAAAACTTCAGTCCATTCAACTAATCTTTCAGAAAACATTAATAATCAGGGCCGACGAAACGGGTTTCGAAATAAAGGGGGGGAGGGAAAGGGGCACAACCGTCAATTCTTAAAAAAAGTAGAAATTCTTATATTTACATAAAAAAAAAAGTCCTTTAGAAAAAAAGTGGGAGGGGCACGTGCTCCCTGGCCCCCCATTATAGATGGTACCTTTTTCGAAATCGTAATCAGATAAAAAATAAGTAACAAAATATAAGCATTATGCTTATTATATGTACGTAATGTGGGCACTTAAGGCAGATGTTCAGAGAAAACGTAAGTTAGGAAAGTCTGGTGTACGGCGGATGAAAGGCTGGTGTACGGCGGGTGAAGGCCATGCTAGTTAAAACTATTTGTCTCCCATTTGAAAATTATTTACCTGAAGTATCTTTTTGGTGGTTTAAATGGTGGGCCAAAGTCGCGTTAGGGTGACTTTGGCCCAACCCAGTAAAAAGGAACTAAAAGAAGCAAAACAACAATAAAAACAACAATATTTAGGCAAAGAAAATAAAGTGACAAAAAAAGATTTAGTAACAAAGTTCTTGTATACAGTAAATAAAATATAGGTAAACAAAAATGACAAAAATAAAATTTTAAAACATTTAGTAAAAAAGTTCTGGAACTGAATAAATTCCTCTTTTGGAAATTTTTTTTGATTCCTCAATAAAATAGACTGTTTCAGACTAAAAAAAAAAAAGTTGCTCTGCTGGTAGTGACCATTTCCAGTTAAGTCCATTTTCTTTCATAATAGTAATTTCTGCTCCATTTTTTCTTGATTTTTTCAACTGCATAAAAAAATTTCGAAGGTTTCTTTAAAATTATTCAGTAGTTATTACATTAAATAATATTAGTTATTAAATTAATTAGTTATAAAGTTTACTAATTGATTATCTAAATATAAATAGTTCAAAATAAATAAACAAACATGTCCAGGGTTTAACTCTCCGTTGCATTTAACAATTACATAACAATTCTCTACAAGATTTAATAATTTTTTCTTTTTACAAATTTCTTTTGTTTTATCAGTATTTTGAAAGTTCTTTTTGGCTAATGCTGAATGATCTAAATATTCTGTATAACTTTCTACGACTAAACTTAGATCCGCAAAAATTAGATTAGAAGTCTCAGCAGTTCCAGTATTTGTACTTGGGCCAGCAAAGTCAATTTTGTTGGTCTCAATTGTATTTATAATACTGATAGGTGTATCTACATTATTTGTATTTACTCTATTATTTTCATTTATAACACGAGATGATATATCTGTTGAACATAAGCTTTTACCTGGGGCAGCGCATACTTTATGTCACTTTGGTTTTTTAGAAAAATCTGAGGGATCATCCAGTGACTTACATAAATGATCTAAAAATGATGGGCTTACTAAATCAGTAGTTGAGCCTAAACCTACATTACAACATGGTAGTTGTGAAAACACTTGAGAATTGTCTAATAGAAAATTTCCAGTTTTACGAAAACCAGCTCTAAGGTTATCATTCCCACGTTCAATTAAATTGGTAATTAAACGGTCTAAAAGTCTAGGAAACTCATCTTTAAGAAGAGAGGCAACTTTCCTTCCTTTTCCTTTTTCTTTCCATTCGCATAATATTTTGCGCCAGTTAATTTTTTTTGGTCTAAAGTAGACAACATCTAATGGCTGCATGAGATGTGTAGAGTTTGCTGGTAATGCCACCAATCCTATGTTATTGCTTTTACATGCATCTAGTACTGCAATGCTCAAATGTGAAGATATGCTATCACCTGTAATGACACTTCCTCCTTGAGCCTTCTTAAGTCTTGGAAGAAGTAAAGAGAAAAACCAGTCTTCAAAACATGTTGAGTCAAACCAACCACTTTTTAATCTGTTATAATGTGCTTTTGGTGGCCCATGTTCCATCCATGTACTCCATAACGGCTCAGCTTTGTAAACAAGATAAGGTAGTAGCAATTCACCATTAGCATTGCCGCAAAACATTACAGAGAATGAGGTCTTTGTAGAATTAATAATGCGTTCAGGATACTTACATCCATGTTTTGTTAATACTTTTTTTTACCTGGATCGTCACTGAAATTGGTTTCGTCATTAATTCCATATATTATCAGGTGATAAATTACTTATTTCATTTGATAGATTTATAAAGTAGTTATCAATCACAGTCGTTTCTATTTCTGCTCTGTTCGCTTTATATTGCTTGCAAATCTTACTGTGAGTTCTGGATTTCTTTTTAAAAAAGATCAAATCCAATCGCTACCGTGAAAATTATTTTTGAACTGAGGTATAATAACGCCTTTTTTGTCTAAATACTTTTATTATGCATCTTAAATCATATTTATCAACAGGAAAACAAAACTCAGAAGATTTTATGGCATAGCCTTGAACATTTCTTCTTCTTTTGATGTAAATATTTGTTGACCACTATACTTTTTAAGATATGTCTTTTTTATTTTATTTTTTAATGTTGATCTTGGTATATCGTATTTTAAAGCTGCTTGTCTTTGAGTAATTGAACCATTCTTTAAATCTTTTAATGTATTGTCTAACTGTTCTAAAGTAAAATTAACATATTTTCTTCTTCAACGATTTGGCATGTAATTTTGAGTCATATTTAAACGAACTAAACAAAGAACTAAAAGAACTAAACAAAATTCACTATACTTTTATACTAATTTATTAATACAAGCTGTTATATTTTCTATTGCATTACTACTACAAAATTTATGATTGCAACATAACATCTATAAATGATCACTAAAAAAGGTTTTCTCTAATACATAGGGTGACTTTAGCCCGGGCCAATGTCATCCTATGTAGTGGGTCAAAGACAACCTATTTTTTTTTAACCTCAATTACAAAAAAGTAATAAACTGTAAAGCTTTCAAAACAAGATCCCAAGTAATTTTCCCTTATGCTATTTGTCTCAAAAAATAATATATTTTTTTTATTGAGCGTGTGAGATTTTTTTTTCGGTCGATTCCACTCTCAGGTAATCTGGTGCAAATTTTTTTTGATATTGCTATTTCCAACTTTTCTTTTAAAGTCAGAGAAATTTCATTTCTTTGATCAACTTCATCATCATCAACATTAAATATTATATTTGTATCTGAATTTAAAATGTTGCCTGAAGTAGATGTTGTTGCTACATGTGTAGCTTCATAATGCAAGTTGGCCATACCCAGACGTTGTATCTCTAAACCAATAACTTTTACAATTGCAGCTTTGGTAACGATCGGAAATAATTCATAATCTCTATCGGTTTCATCATTACTTGGATTTTCATTGGAGTCTGCATCGTGTAAATATTGCAAAACACTTGAAATTTCTATTCATCTTTCAAGAATACATACTTTTAAAGCTGCTTTCAGCTCATAACTTAATAAACATGGATGGCCAATTATTGATTTCATCATAAATTGAATAGCAGCATCTGCAGATAACAAAGTTGCATCTTGTCGGCAGATTGCTTCATCTGTAAGCTTAATATGAAGTAAAACTGAAGAGATGTTTGACAACATTTCAAACTCTGCATCTGAAAACAAAATAGATGTTTTTAAATCTATTAGACTCTTTGATGCAATTTTTTAATTTGAAAAAACATTCTATCATAGACACTAAATTATTCCATCGTGTTTTTGAGTCTAAAACTAGTGACAATTCTTTCCAGAACTCTTCTTTAAGATATTTTTGTAGGATTTTGTCATTTTTTGTAGGCGAAGAACGAAATATTTTGACCACTTTTCGAACTTTTTTAATTAATGGTAACTTTGCTGATGTACCAGAAAAGAAGATTTATCATCGTTTTCAGTGGAGATTATGAGTAAACCATTTTCATTTTCACAATCTTCATCAATTAATTTGTCGTCATCAGTGGAATTCTGCTCTTTTTCAAATATGGGTGTAGGAACTGATGTAACGTTGGCATCTTCTTCATTATGCAGACTATCCTCATTACTAGGTTTTTTGTAGAGAACGCCGATAACAGCCAACTGAATTACATGCGCTAAACATAGCTGCTGATATGCTTCAATTAACCTGCCTACCTTTGTCATAACTGCAGCACCATCAGTGGTAATACCTACAATATTCTTGATCAAAAACTTATAACCTAACCTATCATTGACAAGCTCAACACATTTTTCTGCAGAAATTGTTTGAAAAGCACGAATCCTAGATTCCAAAAATCTTTTTCAGAGCAAGCATTAATATTTATGTTACGTCTATTTCTTATCAATGTCCATTCATCAAAAGTTAGAGAAAATCTGTTTTCATTAGCAATTCTCCTCAATAATTCTTTAACTTCGTCTAGTATGTTTTTACTGTAATTCAAGACCATTTTGTAAATTGGTTTGTACGTTAGAAAAGCCTCTGGCTGTTAAGCCTTTTCTGATATCAAATGATGTGCAGATAATGTTGAATGATAAACCATTACACGTAGTCATCCTAGCTAAAGTAACTGGCGATGAATCATCCATTTTATCGCTTTAAAAAAAGTTGTTTATAGTTACAAAAGGTTTCGATGTCTCTACAAATTCTCTCCTGTTTTTTCTTTTACAAAATGAAACCATGGTGAATTTTAATCATTTGCTTTGGAATGCTCCTCAAAATCTTGAATATTTATATCGGTGTATAATACAAATTTTCTAAAAGTTCGAAACACGATAATAAAAATGTATAATTTA